GCAAGAGGCCAAGGAGAATGACGTTCCCCCACCGTGGCAGCGGTGCTCTTTAATCACGCCACTCCCTGCTGGAGGACTATAACAGCTCCTAGGACCCGGGCCATGTAGTTGAGTTCACACAGCAAGCCTAAAGCCAAGGGCTCTTCTTCTGGATAAGGATTTAGCTTGCTGTTTGCCATGGAGTGAGGCCTGGCGCCCTGTGCGTGGGTTGAGCTAACTTGGGTTGTAACCGCATCCACTTTTCTGAGCCCTGTGCGTTCAGCAGTTCTAACCGCAGGCCGGGGATCGCCCTGGGTCTCTCCAGGCTATCCTTCTACTCACGCAATGAACATTGGTTTAGCACCTGTTCTCCGAGGGCCCAAAGCCAGACAATACACAGAAGACATGCCTGCCCTTCAGTGTGGTGCAAGGGGATGCTCTGTGTCTGTGAAGTAGGAGGGCTGGTCAGAACACACTGTCCACAGTGCCCACTATTAAGTGCAAAATGTCCCCAACAACTGTATGGTTGATGAGTCAGTCCCCAGTGCTTTGGAGATCTTACAGAACCTTCTGGACTTGTTCACCCTAGCTGAGAAACAGAAGGTCATTGCCTTTGGTGGTTGTAGCCAAGCCCTGTTTCCCATGCTGTTGTCCCCTGGTTGGTGCCACGTTGAAGCGCTGCTGTCGTAGACCAAGCTGCTTCTGGCGCCATGTCTCATTTTTAAATGAGCTGCACAAGCACAATACCTTAATCAAGGGCAGAAATACACATATAACAAAATTGACCTTAAATTTGTATCAATAAACCAAGATCCATATCAATGCAAAGTACCCATTTCTATAGCATATTCATTTAAATGAAAACAAATATTTATAAACAGTATTTGGAAATATGGGTGGAGTTCTCTCCAAATTTCTTCCTGATTTTTGTTGGGTGAAGTATTTGGGGGGTATTCATGGTGACCTTTCAGGGGGTCGGGTGCATCAAACCACATTAGTCTGGAAGGATTCCACAGGTTCTCATCCACTGTAGAAACAAAAGAAGAACCTCCTTTCCAAAGCAACAAATTTTTACACTCAAATTTTGAAGTCAAGAAACCTTATTTAAAACATATATGCTGGTTTAGCTTAGCAGCCCATACAATGAAGTGTCTCTCTGTACTTAGCTCCTTCACAGTAAAAATAATTTAAAAAAAAAGTCTCTTTAAAGACTTTGTTTTATTTATTTTTTTAAATAATTTACTTCTTTTTATAACTATATTCTTTTTCTTCTCTTTCCCAAGCCTATGCACATTATCCAACACTGTGACCCATTTAGAGGTCTTTTTTTTAAAAAAATCTGAATCTGTCTTTATTGCATATCTGTAATCCTTTTCTGACCAGGACTGTTGTTTTTTTAAAATGCTAAGTGGGCAAGGCTAGGGCCGATAGGGCCTGCCTGATTGCTCTGCCCAGTCCAGCATGGTCGAAGGATGTTCACTGCCTCTGCAACCTGTGAACAGCGCCCCAGTTCCAAGTATGCAGTGGGTCTATGTCGAGCCATTAATCAGTTTGTGACATGCTGCTCATAAACCCCATTTGAATGCTCCATAGCCAGATCTCCTGAAAGAGTCAGAGCCATCTGTGCTGGTGGACCAGGAAACTGCCATTTTGAAACCACACAGGTTTGTTTTTTTGTTTTGTTGGGTTTTTTTTTTTCTGCTACTGCTGAATCAGCAAGACCACCTTAAAAGGGGCTGCAGCGTGCTGCCGGCAAGCAGAGCCTATCAAACAACAACAAACAAGCAACAACAAACAACAACAACAAACAACAACAACAACAAACAAACAACAACAACAATAACAACAAACAAACAACAACAACAAAAAACAAAGAACCTTGTTTTTTAGCGTCTAGAATTCCTTTCCCAGCCCTCTCAGGTTTTCTGTGGATTTAGCTACTTCCTGCTGGAGTGCCAATTTGTTACCATTGTTTCAGTCAGGGTCTCTATGGCTGCCGTGAACACCACAACCAAAGCAACTTGGGAAGAAAGGGGCTATTTCAGCTTACAGTTAGGTCACAGCCCCACCACTCAGGGAAGTCAGGGTAGGAATTCAGGGGAGAAACCTGGATTTATTTTATGTATGGATGTCCTACCTACATGTATGTAAGTGCACTGCATGTATGCAGTGTCCACAGAGGCCAGAAGAGGCCTCGTTCCCTGGAACTGGAGTTGAGGATGTCTGTGAGCAGCCATGTCAGCTGGAAACCAAATCCAAGACAGCAGTGCCTTTACCCATAGGCCGCCTCTCTAGTTCTCTTGCAGGATTTTAAAGGATTTGGGGATTAACTTAAGGTGTGGTTCATTCTGTACTGATTACCGTGCACAGGGAAGGAGGGACTCGGTTTCATTCTCCACACATGGGTGCCAGTGTTCCGGGCAGCCCTTGCTGTAGCTGTGCTTTCTCTAACATACGGTTTTGGCATTCTTGTTTAAAAAAGATCAGGAAACTGTATCTGTTTGGTTTATTTCCTGATCATCTGTCCACCCCATTGGAATCTGTGTCTGCTTCGGTGTTGGTACCATGCTGTTTCGGTCACAATGACTCTAGCAGAATTTGAGACAAGGCGCTGCTCCAGCATTACTCTCTGCACTCGGGACTGGCTGGCTGTCCAGTGTCTATTGTGCTTCTCGGTGAGCTTCCGGATGGATTTTCTAATTCTCTCAACGATACCTTAGAATTTTGAAGGTTTGCATTGAACCTGTGGGTCACTCTCAGTGGTAAGACCATTTTCATATTAATTCTGCCAGTCCAGGAGCACAGGGTGTCTTTTTGTGTTCTCATGTCCTCTTGAATTTATTTCTCCAGTACTTTAAAGTTCTCTTTGTAGAAGTCTTTTGACGTCCTTGGTTAGGTTATTCATAATTATTGAGTGGATGGCTTCTCTGCTTCCTGTCTCAGCATGCCCATGTGCTGGCTTTGGCTTCTACTTCCTTGCAGTGTTGACCTGATTTTGGAGTGTTCCAGCAGAATCTGGGGCATTTAAAACATGGTAATATGCCCATTGCAAACAGGGATGGACGGACCTCTTCCTTTCCTCTTTCTTCCTCCTGTCCTGCTGCTGTGGCCAAGCTTGACCTCTGTACTGAAAGTTTCTCAGTCCTGGATTTGAAGAAAATTGTTTAGGGGGCTGGTGAGATGGCTTAGTGGTTAAGAGCACTGACTGCTCCTCCAGAGGACCCGGGTTCAATTCCCAGCACCCACATGGCAGCTCACAACTGTCTCTAGCTCCAGTTCAAGAGAATCTGACATTGTCATACCAATGTGCATGAAATAAAGTTGTTTTTTTTAAAAAAAAAAAAAAAGAAAACGGTTTAATGTTCCAGCATCTAGTGTAAGGTGACTTTTGCAGTCCTCGCCTTTGTCTTTTAACCCAGGAATACATTAACAAACATCCTAGTCTTGAACTGTCCTTGAAACCCTAACAAACCCTTTGTTCACGTATGGTGACATTTAATGCACTGAACAACCAACGTGACATTTTGTTCAGCCCCTTTGCGCATCTTGTATAAACCATTGTATTGGGTGGTTTTGTGTGTCAACGTGACAAAAGCTAAAGGCATTAGAGGAAGGAGCCTCAGAGGCAATGCCTCCTTGAGATCCAGCTGTAAGGCATTTCTCCTTTAGTGGTCAACAGAAAGGGGCAAGGCCATGGTGGGTGGTGCCATCCCTGGGCTGGTGTCCTGGGCTGTGTAAGAAGGTGGGTTGAAGAAGCCATAGGGAGCAAGCCAGTAAACGGCTCCTCTCCAGGGCCTCTGCATCAGTTCCTGCTTTCTGGGATCCTACCCTGAGTTCCTGTCCTGACTTCCTCAGTGATGAACAGCAATGCTGAAGTCTAAGTTCCTCCCCCGCTTGCTTTGGTCATGACTTTTCCACGCAGCAACAGAAACCCTAAGACAACCACCCTTAACTTGGTTCTCCTAGCCACAGATAACCTGTTCCTAACAAGCCTGTCTTGACATTGGGTCCTGCTTGGCTCACCAAGTCAATCAGAGGTCCCATCATGTTGTAGGACTTGTTACGGTTTGAACAGCAAGGAACTATTTGGTCCTTCAAGGTTGGACAGACACTAAATTCCCTGAGCTCCTTCCTGCTGCTTCCTTTGACTCTTCAATGGGCTTTACTCAGGCTGTCTGCCTTTCCTAGACTCCTCCGCATTCACTGACGCTCATAAACTTATTAATGGAGAAGGTACGTTATAATTTTAAACATGGGTTGTACTTGTGAATACATGTACATGTGTGGTGGCACCTGGGCCATGGTGTAGGTGCGCCGGTCAGAGGACATTCTGCAGTTGTCTCCTACGGCGTGGGTCCTGGGTAGGCAGCATCAGTTATCAGCCTGCCAGCCGGTTCCTCTTGCCGAGCCATCTTATCTGCTGCCCACAGCAACATCTTTATTAGGATCGTCTTCTCAGGTTGTCCCTGAGAACTACGTGTTTGCCCTCTTACTGTGTGTTTCCTTAAAGATATGCACATAGGGTTTCCCTGTAGTAGAGTCCTGGCTGTCCAGGAACTAGCTCTGGTGACCTTGACCTTAGAGCCAGGGCCTGCTGGGGGTTAAAGGTGTGGCCACCTTGCTCGGCAGAGGCAGGCTTTTTAAAAAACAGCAAAATAACTTAGTGTTTTAGGTTCCCTTCCCTTCATCTCGATCCCCTTCCCCTTTCCCACTCCTGGTCTACTTGGAGAACCTAGCAACCTTGAGCCCTGAGCACCCTCACCTCCAGCCAGTGTGCTGCTGTCTGAGTCAGCCAGACGTGTCAGGTTTGGTTACTAACATAACGGAGACTCAAATCCCAAAGTGGAAGGAAGTGGCTGGCCTGAGGCCTACAGCTGAACTGCTCATGACCGAATGCAATCCCAAGAAGGAGCAGGGCAGCTGGTAACACATCAGGAATAATTACTGCGGAGCATGCTCAGCCTATTTCTAAAAGCTTACTAAATAATTATGTAACAATATGCACTCCACAACGCTTTAAAAATCGCTTAGCATCTTTATTCACTAAGAAATTATGTCATTGAAGATGACTCCTTGCAAACTAATCAGAAGGCACGGTCTCCATTTCTGGTTGCTTGATTGTTTATATATGTCCAGGATAGGTAAGTATTATGATGTAAGCATAAAAAAATGATAAATCAAAAATACATTGTCTGGGAACCCACTGTCAGGTGACTGGGCTAAGTGTCCTCAGTTCCCCATCAGTTGTCAGAGTACAGTGGCCGTGCAGGAGGCTGTCACTCAGGCCTGCTTTCCTAGGCCTGCCACCACTCCCACCCCCACCCCCGGAACTGTGTGTGCAGAGGCCAACAGAGCAGCAGGCCTGGAAGGCAGAGAAGTATGACAACACACGCTCCATACAGTAGCAGTCAGTGTGAGGCTGCGGGGAAAGAGAGATGACAACACACGCTCCATACAGTAGCAGTCAGTGTGAGGCTGCGGGGAAACGGACTTCAGGCCAAAACCCTTGTCTCGGAGCACAGGCCCCTCAGGGGTCAGGGGCAGGCCAAGTTCATTATCCTTCCTCAGCATGGTCTCCTGTCTCTCAGAAATTACCTAGTAATGAGCAGCCAGTGTGTGTTCTTCCCCTGATGCAGATTCTGGGATACAGCAGCAGTAGCTGTGCACAACAGTCGGACAGACCACAAAAACTCCAGCACCAGCCACTCTTCACAGATTCCCTTGAAAACAAGGACCTATTTGCTGTTTTTCTTACTTCCCTAAAACCCTGAAGTTCTAACCCAGTGCTATCAAGAACTCGAGGTTTTGAAACAGCTCCGTATTTCCAGGTGAAGTCACTGCTAGCCCTTGGAGTCACAAACGCACTCAGTCTTTGAGCCTGCTGGTTGCCAAGCGTTTGCTGTCAGTAGTCTGGGCAAGTTGTCTCCATGGGCTCAGGGGCCAGCAAATCTCAAGCTGCAGACACAGCTGCTTTACTGCACCCAAAAAGAAACAGGTGCGTCTGAAGCTGCTGGAAATGCTTGCTGTGATCTTGCAGCACACACGAGGACATCCTGCTGCATTCCAGAGGAAAGGGCTGGGCAAGGCACCTGAAGGAAACAGCTTTGAGGCAATGAGGAAAAATCATGAAAATATAAGCTGCCAAGGGTCTGAGCAGATGACCCGTGTGACGTCCACATGTGAGCAGGTGACTGGAGAGATGCCCACGTGTGAGCAGATGACGGTGTAGATGTCGCCCATGTGTGAGCAGATGACCCATGTGATAGCCACGTGTGAGCAGATGACGGTATAGATGACCACGTGTGAGCAGATGACGGTATAGATGACCGTGTGCGAGCAGATGACCCATGTGACAGCCACGTGTGAATAGATGACAAACAGATGCCCACGTGTGAGCGGATGACTGAGTCGACATCCATATGGCCACCTGGCTGTCCCCTTCCTGAGCTGGACTATGTCCGGCAGAGCTTCAGCGGGAAGTTCTCTGTGATAAGGTGGTCAGCATGAAGAAGGACCACCACGTTAACCTCAAACTCTGCAGGGAAGAGAGAGAGGCTCACTCACACTGAGCACGGAAAACAGACTCTAACAGGGAGGCAATGTGCGGGTTCTGCTTCCACCCCTTCAGAGTGTCCCTGAACTCTCTGGAGGACAGTGAGACCCCTACTGATTGTGACTGCCACTCTAACTTCTCCACTTAACTCTGTCTTGTCAGCATGTGGTGTGAGCCAGGCAGAGTGGCCCACACCTATAATTCCAGCACTTGAGAAGCTGAGCCGGGAGGAAGGCAGTGAGCGTGAGACCAGCCTGAGCTACAGAGTCAGCTCCAGTATGGCCTATGCTGCACACAAGACCTGGTGCTTCTCTTGTTGATTAACAAAGGAAAACAGCATATGTTGGTTCAACTGCTGTTCCTTTGATATCAGCTACGGAGACATTTGCTGTAACACTTGGTCTACACTCCTGCAGACAAGATTTCCTTCACTGGTTTCTAGTCTTCATGGGTAAAGATCCCAACACGGGATCAATGTCAAGAGGAAGCATCCCAGACAAAAGTGCCCCTGTCCTTATTGCTGGTATGGGCAAAGAGATCCTGGACCACATTCAGAAACTGAGCTCCGGGCACAATTTTGGGGTACGCATACTCATACACAGACCCATATACATACGCATACTTAAAAATAATAAACTTCATTTTTTTTTTTTTTTTTTTTTTTGGTTTTTCGAGACAGGGTTTCTCTGTGGTTTTGGAGCCTGTCCTGGAACTAGCTCTTGTAGACCAGGCTGGTCTCGAACTCACAGAGATCCGCCTGCCTCTGCCTCCCGAGTGCTGGGATTAAAGGCGTGCGCCACCACCGCCCGGCTTAATAAACTTCATTTAAAAAAGCAGGTCAGTCACCAGTGAGCACAGAGGCCACTCCACCTGTGGGAGACGATGGCCAGAGCTGGAAACAACGTGGCAGCAGTAGCCACGCTGGCTTTGTGGGTATGCAAAACGCTACGGTTATAGTGTTATGGAAACTTGTACAAATGTTTCAGAAAGCACCTGAGGAAGCCAGGCAGGACACGGCAGGGTCGGGTTCCCTGCAGAAAGGCCCTAAAAGAGGCCACCGTGTGTGGCTCTAAAGGTATACCCAGAGCTGCAGTGGGAAGCCCCAGAATGCTGGAGAGGCAGGGACTGAGGAACCTGCCAAGGAAAGCTGCAGGCAGGAATAGTTGGCCAAAGATAGCAATTACATCTCTGAGTGCACTAGAACTGGATGAGTGGGGTTACCTGAAGCTCCTGGAGCCCAGCTGCTGCTGCCAAGAGCTAGACATGCTCACAAAAGGTTGAACCCGCTAGATTTTAGTATTGCTTTGCTTCAAGTTTTTGTTTTGTTTTTTGCTTTGGCCCTGTTGTTGCTCTCTTTCTGGATGGGAATATTTGTTCTATGCCTATGTTGAGAGTATGCGATTTATCTTTTGATCTGACAAGGATTCATTCACAGTTGAGTCTCAGAAGAAACTCTGGTCTTTAGACCATGTTAAACTTAAGACATGGGACTTGTTAAGTTGGAGGAATTCTAAGATGATGTGTCTTGGTGTTGTGCTGTCAAAGAGCAGACTTGTGTTAATCTTTACTGTCACCGTGACTAGATTTGGAGTTGTGTGAGGGACACACTGTTGGTGTATCATCAAGGGAATGTCTAGAGATGTTCAGCTGATGAGGGAAGCCCTGCCTTGAATATGGGTGGCACCAACCATGGGATGGGGCCTTGGCCTGAATAAAAAGAAAACAATCAAGAAAGCAAACCTGATACCAGCATTCATTTCTGTCACCTCTGTCGTGTGCTCCACCTGATGAGAGCAGGCAGCCTCCCGTAGTGGCTTTTCTACCACAAAGGACTAAACTCCCAAACTGTGACCCACACCAGCCCACCTTCCTTCACTGTCTCTTGTAGTCGGGCACACACGACTGTCTGACAACTGTAAAGGCTTCTTCTATAGACGTATGTGTTCTCTGCTTGGCTCAAGTCTGGCTTTGAGAGGGGGCTTTCAGTAGGCTGTAGTGTCCCACATACGCAGCTTCTTACAGAGGAGAGTAACCAAAGGCTGAATGCTGTGGGCCCTGCAGGCCAGGTATGGACTGCTTACCCACTTTGAAGTTAGTGGTCTCCAGTGTCGGGCATGTGAACAGTCTGGGGAAGACCATGTACAGAGGGACAGAAAGGCTTCTACAAATGTCCCCATCAGCGATTTGAATATTCTGAATCTCTGTGGCATCACGTGCATAGCCTTCTGCACACCCTGGGGAAAGAGGAAAACTCCACAGGGTCAGGATACCATGACACCAGAGCGAACTAGTCAGCAAACCTTTCAGTGCCAGCAGCATCAGAACATTACCCACAGCTCCAGTTTGTTCTCCAGGGCTAGGCCTTCCCTCCCTGCCACTGCTCACTCCCTCAGACATCACCACGACTGGCTCAGGCCTGGGAACCTAATGCCCCAATTAGATTCCAATGATTGTCTCCAAGTGGGGTCTTTGGGAGAGCAGGCCAAGAGGGTCATGCGGGTCGCTTTGTTGCAGACACGATGTGCTGCTCTCCACCATGTTAAGTCCACAGGACAGGACAGCTTAGTGGTTGAGAGCGCTGCCTGCTTTTGTAGAGGACCCAGGTCCTTTCCCCAGCACCCACATCACAGTTCCAACCAAATGATCCAATGCTCCTTTATAGCCTCACATGTACCACACACATCTGTCACAGACACACAAGAGCAGAGGACAGGCATGTGTTCCGCATCTGATGGCTTTATACTACACTACAACATGGCAGAGGCCACCACCTGGTGGGAGAGCTCCATAATATGACCCTACTCTCCTGAGACAAGCCCGTAACCCGTCGTGAGGACAGTCACCCCCCCGAAGCTCTCACTCTCAACACTGCTGTGCTAGGAACCAAGTTTCTAATACACAGCTTTTGGGAAGCACATTCAGAGCAAAAGAGGTGTCTCTGTGGCCCAAAGCCATTCCAAGACATTTCTTAAGCACAGGCACATGGCCATCAGTTTAGCAACACGAGGCTGCCATACTCATGGTGTGCTGCTGCGTCCCTTAGGTCACCGGTTTCCCTAGGAATCAAGGGAGGCATTTTTCAAGCTGGGTTCCCCGGCTCCCAGGAACCACTCCACACCTGAACTGGAATCCCTGAGAACAGAACTTAGGCAGGTCCACATCAGCGAGCTCCAGAATGAACACAGCTGAGCTAGAGAACACCTGTCTCCAAGAGCAGAGACTTCTGAGGTGAGCCTCGTGTTCTAACTACCCAGCCCTCCATCCCCTCCAGTCCTGCCCGAGGGTGACAGGTCAGGCTCAAACACTGAAGTCAAGAAGCCTTACCACAGGTCTCCACCCGCACCAGCTGGAGCTCAATGCTGCGGATAGCAGCGTCCGAATGCTCCACCACCAGCTCTCCCGTCAGGGGCTGTGTGATGGCGCAGCTGGTGGAGTCCAGGTGGCCTCTGATGAGGAATTTGGGGAGTGAGGCCCTCTACAATAAAAAGAGACAAGAAGACATCAGGAACTGGAGGAAAAGAGCTGTTAGTGATTCCAGTTGCTTTGGCACGAATAAAATCTGAAGATTAAGTTGAGTAATTGTTCTAGAAACTGTGGAAACCTGGTGTACAAAACAAAAAGGAATAACAAATAGTGTTACTATCTCTCAGTGGACATCTATGCACATAAAGGACAGACAGGACTAGCTCTGGAGAACCCACTCTCTGCCTCCTTCACAGGCGACAAGACAGGAGGACAGACAGACAGGACTAGCTCTAAGAACCCACTCCCTACCTCCTTCACAGGCGACAGGACAGAAGGACAGACAGACAGGACTAGCTCTGAGAACCCACTCCCTACCTCCTTCACAGGCGACAGGACAGAAGGACAGACAGACAGGACTAGCTCTGGAGAACCCACTCCCTGCCTCCTTCACAGGCAACAGGACAGGAACTGTAAAAAGCCTGAGAAGCTGACAAGGGTGTTTAAGGACAACCACCACCAGGGTGAAAAATAAATAAAAAGAAAAAAGGAAAAGATTTGAGAAGAAAACAAGGTAGTCAGTTTTACAGTGTTCCCAATTAGGCGAGTCTGAAGCCAGTTATTTCAAGGATGCTGAAAGAGCGGTTTTCCCAATGCTTGATGAAAAGCTTTGGGACCTTTCTCTGTAGACAGGAAGCTGGCCAAGGGGACCTGGCAGTGGCACTGAGAGAAAAGAGTTGGACAGTCATTGTAGGCGTCTTTGCCTGTCACGTCCCACTCCCCAGCAGACTCAACAGAAGCCACAAATTTAAAATCATTTACAATTTGTAATTGCTTATGAATATAATTTAAATTTTTCTGGTAGCCACATGAAAAAACTTTAACAGTATATCCAAAATGTTATTACGTCTGCATCTACTCATGAGAATTACAAATAATACAGCTCAGTGAGAAGACTGCTTGCCTGGCGGTGCACGGAGCTCTGGCTCCAATCTCTAGCACCGCAAGCCAGGAACGGCAGCACGTGCTGTCGTCCCAGCACTCATGTGGAGGCAGGAGGCCACCAGACTGGTTAAGCTCTCAAACACCAGTGATTCTTACCTAAGGAACCCTCTAGAAATGTGTGAGTGGAAAACAAATACAGGGAAAATAAGCCATCTGTTTAGAAAACTCACTAACAGCGGAGGCTCACACAGCTCTAGGCAGCTTATGACAATGCGACTTCTAGTGCTCTCAAGAGTCTTCCAGACACGTGTGCTCCTCCCGCAGTGATGGTGTCAGATGCACATCCCTGCGCTGCTCTGAGTCTCAGCTCCGGCCTGCCCACATTTTCTGTACACTTCTTCTTCTTCGTCCCCCCCCCCCCCCAATTCCTTGTTTTTACTTAGAGAAGAAAACCCGCTAGTGACACTCTATAAATAACTACATGTTCTACAAGGTATTTAACATACAGCATGTGCTTGGCGGGGATGGCGCACAAGAGGCAGGAGGATCTCTGAGTTTGAGGCCAGCCTGGTCTATAGAGCGAGTCCAGGAAAGGTTCCAAAGCTACAGAGAAACCCTGTCTCAAAAAACCAAAATAAACAAATAGGAACAAAGCACATTTCTCATTTCCAATAGTAAGCATGAACGTTTCTGTCATGACAAACAGTGCTCACCTACAACAGACAGAAGGCCACCTACACACACAGTGCTCACCTACAACAGACAGAAGGCCACCTGCCACTCCCTCAACACACCTGACAGAATCCAGTGCACACTGACACTCAGGAGAATAGTCTCACCAGGGCCAGGGCAGACAATCTTACTAACAAATCTACACCAAAGACCCTCGAGTTTATGAAGAGCATAAAGGCAAGGGAAGAGGGCTCTGCTACATGTGCGGAGCCTGGGAAAGGAGAGCATGGGAGGCAGGGGCAGGGGCAGGGGCGCTGTGTCTGCAGCAGAAGAGGACATGGAGGGTCCAAAAAAAAAGACTTCACACGGGGTAGAGCAGGTAGGGCACGGGAATCTGCCTGGCCCAGGTTATGATAGCTACTTCCTTCCAGAACCTTCTTAAAGGGCTCCCTATGACACACCTTCCAAAGAATGACATCAGCCATGACTCCAGTGTTCCAAATCTCCCCGACATGCCTTCAGCCCAGTTATGACAATGAGCAAAATGCGGACTTGAGTAAAGAGCTGCAGAGGACACTACTACACCTGCAGGGAACACCACTACAGCTGCAGAGGACACCACTAGCTGTGAGATAGAGCCATTTATTACAAGTTAAAAAGCTGGAAATTTTCTGGCGGTGGAGCAAAGTGCTAACCCAAGAAGGCTGGTGCAGATGACCCAGCAGGTTTGCTGGGAGCTGCTACCAAGACCCAAGCATCCTTGGTTCTCATGCTGGTCCTGTGTCCTTGCTGTCCACTCCTACCAACAGTTCTGTCTGACTGAACACCACTGAGAGACTGCAAAGCCTCCAGAGGGGATGAGAGGCCAGGGCCCCCTGCAGGCCCCGCACACCAGGGGAAACAGGGAAGGAGCATGGCACTCAGGGTGCACAGGCAGAAGGAGACCATGCAGGTGCAGTGATGCACGCCTGCAATCCGGGATGACGGCTGGGGAAGGTCGGCCTGTGCAATACAGTGAGAGGTCATCCTTCTATGAACACAACATCAGAAGCATGTGAGGAGTCTAGAAAAGTGCTTTTTTTTCTGAGTAATTACTGAGTTCAATATGAAACCAGTCTGAGAACACCCCTTGGGTACAAACAGCATCAGAAGCCTGTCACCGAGACCTCCATTCTCAACTAAAGAACAACTGGGCAGTTAACGTCAGTGGGTCAAGCTATCAGGAAAGCCATGACACACAAGTAGGAGTAAGGAAGGAGTACCTCTTTGACGTTCTGCAGGGTTTCCGGGGTGATGGTGAAGTCAACGGGACTTGGGGTCAGCTTCCCCTTCTGAGGCTGAAATGGAGGTAAAACCACAGTCAGAGGGCGAGGACCCATGGGTGGAGAGAGCAGCTCTTCCTTCTGACTCAAATGAACAGCAGCACAGGAGACTAACTGGAGGGATGACTCCAGACACACCCAGGTCCACCCACCCAGTACTACTCATCTGTACTGCCAGGGCCAGGAGTCTACCGGAGGTCAGACCTCGGGGACAGAATGGTAAAGCTGGCAGACAGGAACTGCTGCCACCTCACACCGAGGAAAGCAAGGTACACGGAGCTCAAGGACTTGCTGTTATGTGTAGAGTTGAACCAGACTGGCCTGTGCTGTCTACCTAGGAGCATTCCAGAATCCATTCACAGGGTCAGACTACACAGAAGCCTGCCTGGCACCACACCCACAGGCCAGCGGACCCAAGAACTAGCTGGAGAGAGGGTGCCACTCACTTCCCAGGCCTGCTCCTCTGAGTGTGCTCTAGCCACAGTGCTCTTCTACTGCACTTGTGAACCACGTGCCAGGGTAGACTGTACCCTGGGATGAGGCCCCCACTCTCTATCCATCTATCGACTGACCTACACACCTACCTACCTATTTTTGAAGCAGTCTCTCTACATAGCCCTGTCTTGGAACTCACTTTGTAGACCAGGCTGCCCTTGAGTGCTGGGATTAAAGGTGCATGCCACCACACCCAGCCATTTAAAGGTTTTCTGAGACAGGATCTCATCGTCTGTAGACAGCACAGGGTGGCTTTGAGCATACCATGCAGCCCAGGCTAACGCTGAATTCCTGGTGACCTTCTAGACATGGAATTACGAATGTGAACTACCATGCTTGACTAACACCTAACTCTTGAAGGCCCTGTGCTGACAGAATCCCATGAGCAGAGATGGGTCCTGCAGAACGCAGTCACTGCTCTAGGCCTGAGCATCGTAGGAGGCTCTTCAGTCACAGGCTTCAGAGAGGCCTGGGCTCAGGGTGGAGATGGGACTCACTGTTCTTCACAAAATGTGAAGCTTTCCTTGTCGCTGCAAGTTTGTTTTAGGACATAATGTCGAAAACACTTTCAAGTAGATTATTTAAAGGACCATGACAGAAAAGAAGAACAGAGCCATCTTTTAAAACATGTAATTTTCAAAAGAAAAACAATTTAATTATATTTTACATAAATCAGGAGCTGTACGTAGTAACCACAACACTGGGAGTCCTGAAAATGTTACCCAAATAAAGAATGCAAATGAGGGCCTTGGTGACGACTCTGCTAACATCATGCACCAGCGACTCCAATTCTGCTTTGGGACTCACTTCCTGAACATCCCAAGGACGTCCCATCATAGTGCGACACAAAGTGCAAATGCTCCTGACTGTCAACCCTCACCAGATGCCCCGCCAAAGTTCCTGTTCCTTGGGGTGCAGCGCCATGGCGGGGTCCACTGGGCTTACCCAGCACTAACATGGGGACGGTATACTGAGTAGCCTGCTCTACAGGCTCATGAGCTGCCGTGGGCACTACACCCCTGCCTGCCCCACCCAGCTCCCCTCTGAGTGCTCCAGCTCAGCACGTTCACAGCATGCTCTCTAGTCGCAGTGCTCAGAATGCTTCAGAGCAAATTCCTATGGTAGCTCTGGCCGATACTGGTAGGCAACCCAGCTGTGCTATCCCAGGCAGCTCTCCAGTCCGGGCTTTCTCCCAGGTCCCTCGCAAGCATTGTCACTGAGTCCCAGAACCCCTTGGACACTCCAGTCTGATGGAGGGGCAGCAGGATGGTGAGGAGACAAACTGGCCGCTGGCCAGGGCTGAGAGTGCTGCTCTGTGAGGCCCGAGAGACTATGCTGGGGATGCCCCATCGTCATGTGTCACACATGTACTGTTTCTGCTGACTCCGTGTGATCGTGAGGGCAGTGGTCCTCAACCTCCTAATGCTGCACCTTTAATACAGTTCTCCATGTTCTGGTTAGCCTCGACCATAAAGTTATTTTCATTGCTACTTCATAACTAATATTGTTACTATTTTGAACTGTAATATAGATATCTGTATTTTCCGACATTCTTAGGTGACCCTCTAAAGAGGCCATGACCCACAACAGACTGTGAACCACTGATGTAGGCTATGGGACATGTTATGAACTACCCCAAGTGGCTGCAGCAGTGGTGGTAAGGGACCAGCTACCCAAGATGGCATGGAAAGGCATTAAAAAAATTTGTTACTGTAGAATATAGGCCAAACGTGTGGTCATCAGAAAGAGTTGGGCCTGCACAGTCCCTGTGTTCTCATGGGGCACAGCATGACAGCAATTTGTCTCAGTGTGTCACTGCAACTGAGGGCCAAGGTGGATGTGCCCTTTGCAGGACAGACAGTATGCCTACTGTGTGATGTAGAGTGGCGTTTCCTAAGGGGGGGCTGCAGACCCAGAAGGTGGGCATTACTAGGCTATAGAAACAGTGCCCATGCTGGGGCTTACGTCACACCAGGTGCTTGTGCCCCGGCAGACCCAGCTTACTGGCTTGTGAACTGGAGCTAGCCCAGCTCACAGGGAGCCTGGGATCCGGGGTGAGGCTTACAGCGGAGTGAACGATGAATTCACAGGTCTTGGTCAGGTCCTTGGCCAGCAGGGACCGCCGCATGTCACAGCGCAGGGTGTACTAGAGGAGAAGCAGGAGAGAAAACACCAGATCAGTAGATAACAACACACAGAGTGACAGTCAACCTCTCTTAAGGACACGGGGACAGTGGATTTGTTTCACACAGCTGATATCCACGAGAGAACTAATGTGTAAAGTTAGGGCATACCTAAGGAAAGCACGCGCAGCCGTTCCCCAGGCAGACAGCAGAGCTCCGGGGCTGGAAGGCTCCATTGCAGCTGGCTGTCCTGCTCCCATGTGAGCCCAGACAAACCGCAGCCCGTGGACACGGAGGCTGACCTGTGATGGGGTCCAGGAGCCGTCGGGCACCTCGCCCACCAAGCACCCCATTGTATACTAGATGTGGGCACCAGAGCTAAGTTCAGCACGCCATCCTGAGGAGTTTCTCACTTACCAACAAGAAGCCATGGATGGCAGCATGAAAATAACACAAAAACAAACAGAACTCCAGGAAATCCTAAGAACTATTTCTATGTATTTAACCAAGAAATAAAGGTGGTATTTTAAAAAGTTAAAAACACAGAGACACAGAGAAGAGAGAGAACTGTGGTTAAGCTCCATGTCCCCAGCCATCCTCCCAGCCCTGTCCATCACTCTTCAGACGGGCAGGAGAGAGGCACACAGAAGACACTGGCTTTGCCTTGGCTTGTCCATTTTGTGGAGGGTGTGGTGGTTTTTCTGAGCTCGTCACTGCTGGAGTTCCTATTGTGAGGATCCTGTCCTCCTCAGGAACTGGCCTCTAAGCTTACTTGGTTGTGGCATAGGAACTGTGACCATAAATCCCTGGCCATGAGCTGAGGCAGCTCAGAAACCACCCTAGTGCTAGACAGACATTAGGAAAAAACTTCAGGGAGTCAGGGTGTGGCCAACTCACACTTGCTTAATATGTGCAGAGCTCTGTTGGACAGTTTGGAAGTGAGTTCGAGGCCAGCCTGGTCTACAGAGCAAGTTCCAGGACTGGCTCTATAGCTACTGGGAAACCCTGTCTCCAAACCGCCCCCTCCCCAAAAAAAGTACACAGCCCTAGGTTCCATTCTCAGCATCATAAATTAGACCTCAGACCCTCATAAAATTCCTGTTTAATCAACTTACCTGTTCTATTGCTCTAATCACATAGGAAAAGCTTTTGAATTATGTCAAAAATAATTTTCATACCTAGAATAGCTAAGACTCTTATAAGACACTCCATTCTTACGTACAACCTTTCCACATGAGATAGGTTCCTGTATATCTGAGGTACTACAAGGGAGGTAAAGCATTTTTATAAGAATCATCTCTTACATGCAAGGATCTAAAAATTTATTTATGTGTATGTGCGGTATGTATATTCTCTAGTGAGAATGCAATCTGTTCTCCCCAAACCAGACAAGCTTACAGAGGACTGATGTGTGTGCGTGCAAGTGTGTGCATGCATGCGCGTGCACACACATCATTTGTAAATCAATGAATCATGTGATCTGCTGGGGGGGCAGCAAGGTGAAACAAAAAGGGCAATTTCTATGTTATGCTCAAGAAGGGGTCAAGGCCTCCCTCATCTACTGACTCAATTAACTTACAGTACTGATATACAAGCTGTTACAAGGGGGATAGAGAGATGGCTCAGTGGTTAAAAGTACTTGCTACTCCTGTAGAGGACCTGGATTTGATCCCAGTGTCCACATAGTGGCTTAAAACCATCCCTATTGTTGTGGAGAAAGGGGTACACTCACCCATTGCTGGTGGGAATGCAAACTTGTGCAACCACTCTGGAAAGCAGTGTTTCGGTTTCTCAGGAAATTCGGGATCAACCTACCCCTGGACCCAGCAATACCACTCTTGGGAATATACCCAAGAGAGGCCCTATCATACAACAAAAGTATATGCTCAACTATGTTCATGGCAGCATTGTTTGTAATAGCCAGAACCTGGAAACAACCTAGATGCCCTTCAACGGAAGAATGGATGAAGAAAGTATGGAATATATACATATTAGAATATTACTCAGCAGTAAAAAACAAGGACTTCTTGAATTTTGCATACAAATGGATGAAAATAGAAAACACTATCCTGAGTGAGGTAAGCCAGACCCAAAAAGAGGAACATGGGATGTACTCACTCATATTTGGTTTCTAGCCATAAATAAAGGACATTGAGCTTATAATTCATGTTCCTAGAGAAGCTAAATAAGAAGGTGAATCCAAAAGCAAAACACATAGGCATCCTCATGAATATTAATCTTCATCAGGCGATGAAAGGAGACAGAGTCAGAGACCCACATGGGAGCACCGGACAGAAATCTCAAGGTCCAAATCAGGAGCAGAAGGAGACGGAGCACGAGCAAGGAACTCAGGACCACGAGGGGTGCACCCACACACTGAGACAATGGGGATGTTCTATCGGGAACTCACCAAGGCCAGCTGGCCTAGGTCTGAAAAAGCATGGGATAAATCCGGACTAGCTGAACACAGCGGACAATGAGAAATACTGAGAACTCAAGAACAATGGCAATGGGTTTTTGATCCTACTGCACGTACTGGCTTTGGGGGAGCCTAGGCAGTTTAGATGCTCACCTTACTAGACCTGGATGGAGATGGGTGGTCCTTGGGCTTCCCACAGGTCAGGGAACCCTGATTGCTCTTCGAGCAGATGAGGGAGGGGGACTTGATGGGGGGAGGGGGAGGGAAATGGGAAGCGGTTGCGGGGAGGAGGCAGAAATCCTTAATAAATAAATAAATTAAAAAAAAATAAAATAAAACCATCCCTATTTAACTCCAGTTCCAGGGGATTTGAAACGCTCTTCTGGCCTGCATGGTCACTGCATGCATATGGAGCATAGACACACATGCAGGGAAACACCCACACATGAAATAAACGTTTTAAGAGTTGTTACTAGTGTATGCCCCAGCACTCCAGAGAGCGCAAGTGGAGCGCTATGAGCTCCAGGACAGCAGGCAATTACACAGAGAAACCCTGTCTCCACAGCCAAACCGAACGAAGACTATAAGGCAGCCATCAACTCCTGTGTTCAGCACTCCACAGAACTCACTGTGCGACATTCTGTGTGACAGGACTGTGCCCAGCTCTTCATGTCATTCTCTCACTAACCCAGCAGCCAAGTTGGGTAGGCTGCTGGAGGAGGCTCGAGAGAGGTGGGATTTGAACTGACCTGCCCACTACAAAACCTACGCCAAATCCTTGCGCAGTGTGACAGCAGGGCTGCGCTGTAAACCCTGTGTCTTCTGACTCTGTAACTGACTCCCTCAGGTCCTGCGCAATGATCAGGAGGAGCGAGTCCCAGGAGGTCAGAGGGTAGCAAGAGGCCAGGCTTCAGCAACCTTAGCAAAGGAGATACAGGGCTGGATTTTTCTTTTTAAGGTTTAAAATGCTGTGTTGTGTGTGGGTGTCTATGTGGATATGTGCAAGTGATGGAAGTTGCTCGTGGGGTGCATGGGACTTCCCTGGAGTTAGAGTTACAGGTGGTTGTGAACTGCCCACTCTGAGTGCTAGGAATTGAACTCTGGCCTCTGCAGGAGCAGTAAGTACTTTTACCTCTGAACCATCTCTCCAAAACACAGCCCCCCACACACGTACAGTATTTTTAACTGTGAAAGGGAGACTAGAGTTTGTTTGTTTGTTTGTTTTTGAGACAGGATTTCTCTGTGTAGCCCTGGCTGTCCTGAAATTCACTGGTACTGCTCTGAGCTATAATATAAAATTCTGTCAGTACGGCTATAAGAGCAGAACTCAGTCAGAAGTAACTAGAAAGCCTTGGCAAGTCAGGAATTTAAAGTAGGTTATGTTTTTTTTTTTTTTTTGGTTTTTCGAGACAGGGTTTCTCTGTGGCTTTGGAGCCTGTCCTGGAACTCGCTCTGTAGACCAGGCTGGTCTCGAACTCACAGAGATCCGCCTGCCTCTGCCTCCCGAGTGCTGGGATTAAAGGCGTGCGCCACCACCGCCCGGCAGTAGGTTATGTTTTAAACCCTTTATTTTGTCTTACGATTTTTATATTATGGTGCTACAATACAGCTCAGATTATAAATGAAGAAGTTTCTTATGTCTATAGAATTTGAGGGAGTATGAGGACTTAACAGCAAAGCTTTTGCCAGGCAGTGGTGGCGCATGCCTTTAATCCCAGCACTTGGGATGCAGAGAGGCAGGCGGATCTCAGTTTTTAAAATAGGTATATGTGTGGTATGTGTCTTTGGGCATAGGTGCCCACCGAGACCCGAGGCATGAGGATCATCCTGAATTCCAGTCCAGGCAGTTGTGAGCAGTACCCAGTCTTAACTGCTGGGACCTCTTTCCAGCACCATTTTTGTTTTTTAGATTTATTTTAAGTGTGTATATGCATTCGTGTGTGTGTGTACGTGTGTTATTGCTTGAAACAGGTGTATAAGGACTGAGAACATTTTCTTGACAGAAAGGTAGCTTTTGCAATACAGTACACCATTCTATGTCATTCACCTTGACGGATTTTCAAGCAATTCGTGAAACTCATATTAGAATAAACCCTTAGTTAACTCCCCCAAATATTTTTTTAATGTGCTAGATTTTAAGCAAATGAGTGGCAATTACTAAGTCCAAATGTGATCAACTGAAATTTGATTGACAAATCAAACAACTTCCCAATCTCCTGCCTCTTTGTGCATCCTATGACTGCTGGGTTTTCTCACTTAGCAAGGGAGCTGCTGCAAGGCAGACTACACAAAAGTACCTTTCTTTGCCCGGAATGAAGGAAGGGGCTCTGTCTCTGGCTGAGTCATGGCTGGGCTCTGCTCCTGAGACAATAGCAACTGTGAAAGCCATCCCTCACCATCAGAGGTAGACAGGAAGTCATAAATCCACTTCCCCTCATTTACAAGGTTTGCTCAATGAAGAATACAGCCTATGTTGAAGCGCAGCCTTTGGGTATTACACAAAGGGATACTCATAAGAATAAAATAGACAAGTCAGTGCTGGTCCCAGAAGGAGACTGAAGCAGATCTACGCCCCTGATGGTGTCAGTGTGGCCTGAGAAAATGCAAAGAAACAAAGGAACTTTAAGGAAGAAGTTATAACCATGGCTCCTACTCCATACAAGGGTCACAGAGTTCTGGGTATAACTCTGTGTTGCAGCATGTGTGAGGCACCGCACAAATAGTAAGTCATACATGAAATGCAGTTAGCAGGCCAGAATGAGAAATCAGTACAGCATGCACACAAGCAGTCTTGGAATCAAGCCATTATCAGAACCTTGAGTTCCGCTATTTCAGTGAAGGAAGACAGTCAAGCTGGTCTTCAGCAGGAAGATAACGGTGCCTGGTATGTGGAGCAGGAACTCACCTGAATGTTGACAAACACGCCGTGGTAAGTCTCATACAGCACCTTGCTGCCCTTGACATGCAGAGGGAACTCAAAGGGAATCTCAGTCTTGCCACTGGGGAGCTTTCCTGGCTTCAGCACGTCTATGGTGCTGTTGAGAATCTGGATCGGCTGTCAACAGAAATCAGCTTCAGCCATCAGCACACTGTGTCTGTCTGTCTCTCCCTGTAGTCATGCTACACCGTGTCTGTCTCTCCCTGTAGTCACGCTAAACCAGGGAGCCTGAATGCTCCTGAGCTTCCAGTGTGCCGGCCGGACACAAACAGTAAGCTGCTTCTGTTTTTAAGTCTGCGCAACAATGGTTCATTTCTTTAAAAATTTTCCTTACTACACTTAGTGTGTGTGAGTGAGTGTGTGTGAGGCGCACACACATACCAGTGTGCACGTGGAACTCAGTGTGGTCCTTCCACTGTGTGGGTCCTAGTGATCCAGTCCAGGTTGTCAGCACTTGAGCCATCTCACCGGTCCAACACAGGGCACTGCGGTGCTGTACACAGCAGGAGCTGACGCCAGGTGTGCCTGTGTCCCGCTCAAAGGCCTCACTGGACTGTCCTAAGAACACCATCTGCAGAATAAGTAAGCAGGCTAGCACTGATGCTGCGGGGCCAGGCTGGACAGCACGCGGCCCAGGGCTGCTCCCTACCTGGCATCTCTCAGCACTGCTCCAGTTCCCACTGCCTCGGCCTCCCCAGGTCTCAGCACTGCAGCTCCCCACACAGAGTCCTCAGAGGGCTCCACAGAGAGGAAAATAGGGTTATCACTCAGGAAGTCGAATTTTTACAATTTCTATTTTATTTCATCTTATTTTAGATAGAGTCTCCCTGTATAACCCTCTGCCTCAGCCTCCGGAGGACTGGACCACAAGCATGGACTCCACCTCCCGCTGGCTGCACGCTTTCAGAGCTTTGGTTTGCTATCACCCCAAGAGAATCCCTAGTGGACCAAAATTAGACAGATGCAAAGGCAGGATACTACTAAACCTAAATAAGCTCATGATCTTCCTCTAAAAGAGCTCACATGGCCTTCAGGGAAAAAAAATCCTAAGTTTGGGGAACTTTCTAGAATATAAACTCTACCGCAAACAACAAAATCATGCAAGTGCTCCCTGCTGAGTGCGTCTCCCTTCGGTGTGGAGCTCAGCAGGAGCAGTATACAAGTGTGACCCACAGACACGGACCACCGGCCACGAGCACTTCTGGAGCTCCGCCCTGGGACCACTGAAGTTAGTGCTTTCCTCTGACCCCACGTGCAAGCGTCTGCTGGCAGGACAGAGAAACACACACTGTGTGTGGACCGTGAGCCTTGCAGCCGCGACCACAGCACACAGCGTCAGCGCTGCGCTGGCTCTTACCTTCACCGAGTTGTAAAAGGCCTCAAACACGCCCACACTTTTGGCACTGAGCTGGAGGTTTACAGTCCCTTCCATGGTCAGAGACACTCCCTGGTGCTGGACAGAGTCCTTGCTGGAGATGACCACCACACCAGACAGCATTTCCTGGGGACAAGAGACAGCCTCCAGTCAGCACAGCACAGCTCCCTGCACGATCCTGCTAAGAGACTCACACACTCTGTGGAGATGTCCCAACCCTGTCCACCAAGTAAACTAACCACAATTAAGTTCCCGAGCTGTGTGGGAAATAAGAGTGAGGCAGTGAATGAACTGCACTTTCTAGGAGCTCTCAGCCCCATCAGAGCTGGAGAGACATCAGTGCTGTCACTCCTCCCAGTCTATGAATGTCGGCCTTAGGGCTGCCAGAGAGTTCAGCAGGTAAAGGCACCAAACCTGCTGTCAGGAGAGCACCAAATGCACTAGCTGTCTTCTGACCTGCACGCACACGAGTGAAACAGAAGAAACTCGTTCTCCCTGATAATAAGCTGAAGCCTAGAGTAATGCCTGGGGTTGAGAAGAAACTACAGAGAAAACAGCATGTATCAGCAGCACTACTGGAACTGAGGTGATGAAGGAGAGCAAGCAGAGGAGTGGCTTCGCTTTGAATAGTAAGTGATCCACCCTGCTAAGAGGTCAGTCAGTAGTCAAGGGCAAAGATGTGACACTGAGGGATGGGTGTCACAGAGGACTGTCCCGTGTTCAACTGTAGTCACACTGGCCCCCAACCCAACACACGCCCTCCCACTCCTCTATGAACTCCGTCCTCTGAGCTGGCACCAGGACCACCTACAAAGCACTCTGCTATGCTGCAGTGGAAAGCAAGGACAGACCATTAGGACCTGACTCCGCCCGGGGCATTGATGGGGTGCTGAGTGGGGAGGGCCCAGCAAATGGAAAACAGTAGAAAGAGGGGCTGTGGTGGTGACCGCTGAGTGTCAACCTGATAGGAGACAGCTCTGGGCCGCCCTATGCAGATGAGGTTAACTGAGGTGAGGATCCCACCCTAACTACACTGAGAAGAGCAGCTGAGCACTCACATCCTCAGCTTCCTGACTGCAGACGCTGCCTAACCAGCTGCCTTGAGCCCCTTCACCATGGATTCCACAGTGGACTGGGAGCCAAAACCAATCCTTGTTTCCCTGAGCTGCCTCTGCCAGGGCATTTTATCTCAGCAATATGAGAAGAAACTAACACAGGGCCCAACTGCCAAACGGTCCTGGCTGGCTCTACACAGCAGGAGCTGCAGACTGCAGCACTAACTGGGCGGAGAACACAGATTTCAGGCCGTACCAGGGCCGAGTGAGCAGCACAGAAGAGAACTCAGAATAGAGCTGGGGCAGGAGGAAGATGGGAAGAACAACCAATGGCTCAGCAGGGAGAAAGTACAAGCAGCCCTGATGTGCAGGGCACATGGCATGCTTAAACCTATCCAGCTGCAGAGCCCAAGTCAAACACCCTGCAGGGACAGGCAGGCGATCCAGTGTCCAGGCCAGCACAGGAGCAGCTGTGACAAGCACAGGATCACAAAGACAAGTTTGCTGCAGCCCAATTGTCAAACGGGCTGGGATACTTCTCAACACATCTCTCATGTACTTCATAAGGACTAGGTTATGAATCAGGAAACGAGCCTTCTCAGGAGTATCAGTTGACAAATAAGGAGAGAGGTCCACTTACAGCTCCTAACTGTGCTTCTTCAAAGGTGAAGTGCCTTCCACAAGACCCTGCAGTCCTCCTAGTTCAGAGACGTCTGTTACACACTTACAGAGCTACAGTTCATGGTAGCAATCTAGCAAGACAGCTCTTAGTCACTGCTTTATTGTGAAGAGACACCATGGTCAAGGCAGCTTACGAAACCAAGTGTTTAATTGGGAGTTTGCTTACAGTTCCAGGGGTGAATCCAGGACCATCACGGTGGGGAGCATGGCAGGAGGCAGGCAGGTAGGAGCTAAATGCTTATATCCTGATTCACAAACACTGAACAGAGAGACTGGGCCTGGTGTGGGCTTCAGGAACCTCAAACCCCAGTTCTACTGCCTCCTCCAACAAGGACACAGCTCTTAATGCTTCCCAAACAATTCCACCTACTACAGACCAAGTATTCAAATGTGAGCCAGCGGGGGCCATTCTCATTCAACAAGCACAATAACGTAGACTATTATGTGTTCTTTCTTTTTAAAGATTTATTTATCTTGTTTCATTGAATATGGGTGTTTTATCTGAGTGTTTGCCCTTGGAGGTCAGAAGAGGGTGTGGGATCCCCTGGAACTGGGATCCTGAGTTGGTTGTGAACCACCATGTAGATGCTGGGAATCAAACCAGGATCCTCTAAAAAGCAGCCTGTGCTTCCATTTTTAAATAGGACTTCCATTCTGCAACTTTTCCTTCTAGATAACTGGCAGTCATGCATAAGTTTCTACTCCAGTTTAAAGACGTTACGTCCATGCCCACGCCACATAAGACAAATGGACATGGAGTTCTGGGGTCTTCTGGGGGGTGGGTAGGTAACAGTACCCACCCCATGGCACAGACATCCCTTGTCATAACCTGGCTGGGCTCCGAGGGTATTTCCTTTATACCTCACAAGTGTAGTATTCAATGGTATTACTTTCATGAGCACATGTATCAGATTTAAGAATAAGGCATTCTGAATTCATAAAAACAAATGAATTCTATTTACATTACAGGAAGATTTACTGCAGGCTCCTCCAGTGCCCCGAAGGCATAACATAACTCACAATGTCATGCACATGTCCGTTTCAAGTACCTGTTACTGCACCACACAAAGGCACAAGTGTACCACCTTGGGGCTACACAATGCCAGCTCTGCACAGCCTGCTTGCATGTGACCTTAGCCTTCCCTCAGTCCACGGTGGGCGGGGTCTGACAACAGTGCAGTGCTTGGCAACACTGGGGGTGCCACTGGTGGAGTACAGCTCTGAGGGTGAGCGAACCATCTTAGCATCTGAGTCTACCGCGGGGCACATTCATGGTTAGCCTAAAAGTATCACCTCTCAGGTCTGAAAATACAGCACTTGAGTAGATGCCATTTCCATCTTACAGATGAGAACTGAGACTCAGAGTCCTGGACTTAGAGATAAGAAGGTGGACTCTTGGCCGCAATCCCAACACTCCAGATGCTACTACAGGGGACTGCTGCAAGTTCAAAGGCTGCCTCAGCTGCAGTGACAGACAGACAGACAAAGAAACAGGGAAGTACCTGTCACCAAGCACTACTGAATTTGATCCCCAGGACAGAAAAGAATGGACTCAGTGTCTGTCTGTGTGTGTTATGTACGTACTAACATACACATATAAATAAGTAAACGTTAAAGAAAAACAGGGAAAAAAGCAAATCAGATGTTCTCTCATCTGTGTTGACACGTCACTGAGATCCTCCAGCAGAGCGTCTCATGGCTGGAAAGGACAGAGTGCTCTGCCGTGAGAGGTGACACAAGCACATGCTATCACGGAACATACTACACACTCGCACAGGAAAGTAAGATGTTCTCCAACTAGGGAACTAGACGTCAGGTTTTCACCCGATGGGAAGACTTTTAGGGAGAAGGTGGGTGCCCTGGGAACAAGGCTGCAGAGGCCATATGTCTTGGTATGAAGACCCCAATATTTTCTGTTCAAAGCCAGCCTGGTCCACAGAGACACTTCCAGGGGAGCCAGGGTTACCCAGAGAAACCCTCTCTTGAAAAACAAAACAAACATATAAATAAATAGAAAAATAAAGGGCTGGTTTTTGCTGTATCCAAATTATATCTCTAATGTGTATGTATCTAAATGTAAAGTTTATCTCTACAAAATATTAACTGGGGAAAGTAGAGCCACAAAACTTTCAGTGGATTCAGATCTCAGGATTTTGCTACATTTCATTTTGTTCCGTACACACAGGCAAGTCCACATGCACAGCCACACTTTATGGCTATACCTTCTGAAGTTACCATGGCAAAGTTCAGCACGTGTGTTTGTGAGTGCACACGTGTGAGTGCGGGGGCAAGTGAGGCCAGAGGTGTCAGATTCCCTGGGGTGGGAGTGGCCTGACATGGGTGCTGGAAACCAGCGTGGATCCCCTCCAAGAGAAAATACCTGCTCTTAATGGCTGACCCTTCTCTCCGGCCCCTTATCGTCTCTGAGACAGGACCTTATGGATCCCAGGCTGTATGAAACTCAGTATGCAGCTGAGGGTGACCACGAGCTTGTGATCCTCCTACCTCTAATTCCTGAGTGGTAAGGGTGCGGGCACCCACCACCACGGTTGGCTTTATGCAGTGCCAGGGACTGAACCCTGGGCTGTGTATATCCTGGCACCTAGGTGGTGGCACAGGCCTCTAATCCCAGCACTCAGAAAGCAAAGGCAGGCGGTTCTCTGTGAGTTCAGGACCAGCATGGTCTACAGAGTGAGTTCCAGGACAGCTAGGGCTGTTACACAGAGAAACTCTGCCTTGAAAACCAAAACCAAACCAAACCAATACGCCAAAAACAAAGCAAAAAGAATATGGCAATGGGTTGACAGTTTCCCTCAACTGAAGCAGGGCAGACTGTTTCCCTGTTTCCTTCATATTCTGATTAAGTATTTTGGCAGTGATCTAGCATCTTGCCATAGAGTCTAGAGTCCCTTTTATACAGGATGATGGGATCTTGGTGGTGTTTGGGTTTTTGGGGGGAGGGGAATCTTTGAATCTGGCTTTGTGTGGTGAGGGTGGAAGTGGTGTGGGTCACTGGAATCTTTATAACTGTCAGGTCTTCGGTTTTCCGCATCCATTTAAGATGCTCACCGGGATGTCTTCCTTTTCGGCAGCACACTGCATTTGTATGGCCAAAGACTGCACACAACTGTATGCAGACGCTAGCGGTGTTTCAATCGCTGGTGTCTCCAGGGGATAGAACCAGGGCGATCGCGTTCTAAAACCACAGAAGTGGGACTGACCAGGGCCTGAAGCACACCTTCTGCAGCCCCGTAAGGAGCGACAGCTCGGGGCTGGACCCCGCCCGCCCGCCCGCGGACGCCCCCAGCCCCTCACAGAGCAGGACCGCAGGGCGCCCCTCCACTCACCCCGGCGTGATATACTTTATTCGCTCTCTTGATCTTGATGTCCAGGGAAGTCGCCATCTCCGATGATCTGCAGAGGCCACCACTTCCGGCCACTCGTGACCGGGCCGCCACGCCCACTACCCCGCCCTCTCCCGCTGCCTCCGCAGTGGCGCCACGTGACCACCGCCGGCTCCGCTTCTCACACCTCCCTCTTTCAGGCACAGGGGCGGGACTTAGCGCGAACAGGGGCAGGAAGCCACACACACTTCCGGGAAGGCCGCAGGAAGATCCCAGCGTGCCCCGCGGCGGGGGCGAGGCGAGGCCGCTTGGGGGCGCTTTCCCGTCAGGCTACGCGCGGAGGGCTGCGCGGTGGAGGAGGGTTTCCGGAAGCGACAGCGGACTGTGTTCCCTGTCGTCGGCTTCCTCCGTCCCTGATACTCGCTCGCGTCTCCCGGGAGGGACCGTCCGTGCCAGCCGCAGGGGCGTGGCCCCGCACTAGCGGTCCGCCGTTCGCTGATTGGCGGAGCGCCCCGGTTACGCCCCCGCAGGCCACGCCCCCAGCGCCGGGCCAAGGTCTCGGGAAAGGCCGGGTGACTTCGCTCTGCTGCGGGGGCTTCTGGGTGCTCCCCAGGCTCGGTCCCGGAAGTGGCGCCCGGCGCCTGCGCGAGCGGGAAAGCCGCGTTCCCTGCCGACACGCACCTGCGCGCTTGCCGTGGTTCAGCAGTTGCCGCAGTGGACGCCGGAAGTGCAGGGGATGTGTCCGCCAGCCGCCTCGTTCCTGATTCACGACTTCTGTAAATCTGTAGCAAGGGCTCTCGCAGAAGGCAGAAGGGCAAATCTTAGTGATTTGCTACCCAAAGTGATGTGGTGCAAAGATGATGTTTAAATTCCTTGATACTGGTTTTCTTCAGTACTGATCGCTTTTAAGATGACAGATTTAGGTTTCGAGCATTCCAGGAGCCTTGCTCTTGAGGCGTTCCGTGGGCCGAAAGTGCCGTGCGGCGGCCGCAGTCGCTTTTGAAGGTTAAAATGAGATGCTCCTGAATATTAAGAGATCCACTTTCAGCTCCTGTCTGCTCTCAGGACTTTCCCGTGTGTCTTAAAGCCTGGCCTAGCGGTTCGGAACCTACAATCACAGGCTAGACTATTGCGCAACGAGAAGTGAATCCTGCTCTCCCAGACTCAACTAGCATTTTCTGTTTTTTGGGAAAAAAAAATCTCAGTGCAGGGAAAGGAAAAGAAAAGCGTTCCTTTCCATGAGTCCGTGTCCTAGGCTTGTTTGTTACAGCAGACAGGCCCGGTTCTTAGACAGTCTTGTTCCTCCAGGGCAGGTGTGCCAGACTTCCTCCTTGAAAGTTGCACTCATGGTTAAGAAAGACTGTAAAGACAGCTCCTTCCAAGAATTACCAGTGTTTATCTATTGAGTCGTCCTCTGCAGTGGCTTCCAAACGAGAATCAGAAGTTTACTTTGCCCGAACACCTACTTTTTTGTTTTTGTTTTTTGAGACAGGGTTTCTCTGATTTTTTTTCTTTATTTTTTTAGTTTTTAGAGACTGGGTTTCTCTGTAGCTTTGGAGCCTGTCCTGGAACTAACTTTTGTAGACCAGGCTGGCTCAGACTCAAAAGAGATCCACCACCGCCCGGCCAAACACTGATCTTTTTTTAAATTTATTTATTTATTAAGGATTTCTGCCTCCTCCCTGCCACTGCCTCCCGTTTCCCTCCCCCTTCCCCATCAAGTCCCCCTCCCTCATCAGCTCGAAGAGCAATCAGGGTTCCCTGACCTGTGGGAAGCCCAAGGACCGCCCAAAAAACACTGATCTTTTTAAGCGTTCTTTGTATCTCCTAATCTCACTTAAGGTAAAGTCGCCTTTGGCCAGTTTCAGCTCCTAAATATCAAGACTGCTTCAGAGTGACAATGTTGTGACTCAGATGGGACCCTAGGTCTTTTGCTGGAATAATAAAATGGAAGTTGTGATTCTGGCGTGGAAACGAGGCAAGCACCCTAACAGACCACAGCTGGGATCCTCTGAGTTGATGGGGCCTGGAAACCTTCATAAATAATAGATGGGAAGGCGGGTAGGGCCTTCTCCCCAGACAGCTTCGGGAGAGGATCTGTCTCCAGCTTGTCTTTTCTATCCCTGCACTTCCACTGTCGAGCAGTACACCCGGTGGATTGCTGTTTCTGAAAGATGGTTCAAGACCATTTATCTTCCCTGGCGTCTCTTAAGCTCAGTGAGTAAGGGCCACCACACTTGGTGACAGCCAGGGTTCCATTCCTGGTACAAGGAGAGAGCTAACGCCCACAAGTTGTCCCTTGACCTCCACATGTGCACACGCTCTCTAAATGAAAGCTTATTTTTAAGTGGTACCGTCTTCGCCACACAGGAGACTGTCCTGTGACATTTCCATGCCATCCCTATCTGATCATCTTGTCTCCCTTGACACATGAGGACAGGTAGCATGGTGATGAAACAGGCTCTCCTGCCAACGGGCACCGCTGCTGCCTCAGGAAGAGAATCCCCCCTCTCTGGGTCACCTCCCAGCACTAGATCACAAGGCTGCAGCCTCCCCACGTTCACTTCTGGGTCTTCCTGTACAGACCAGGGAGAGGGAAGACACAGGGAAAAAGTGGTTGAAGCAGAATTAGATGAACATCTTTTTATTAAATTCTAAAAGATAATTTCAACTATAGGCATCTTACAGGGACAATATAAGTTCCTTTTAAGATTTTTTATTTTCGTTACGGTGTTTTGCCTACATGTATATCTATGCACCACATGCGTGCCTGGTGCTCACGGAGGCCAGAAGAGGGCATCAGATCTGCAATAGAGTTGCAGATGGTTGTGAGGCACCGTGTGGTTCTGGGAATCTCACCTGGGCCCTGTGCAAGAGCAGCAGTGCTCTAACCTGCTGAGCCGGTCTCCAGCCCTTATTTCCTGTTGTCACTGGTGTGGTGAAATGCATGACAAGTGCTACTCAAGGAAGGGGGTATGGTGGTCAGAGTTGGAGGGTAGTGGTCCACAGTGCCAGCCAGTGTAACAGACTGTTCCATCCACACTAAGGGAATCTAGAGCCTGGCCAGGTTGACCATATTAACAGCAACAGTCCCACTGGGCGTTTTTAACTAGGTTCTCTCCTTTGGGTCCTCTGTAAAGACCGAAGGACAGGCTTCCTGAGCTGCTGGTAATTTAGTCTCAGCAGCTCTTAACTATACCGCTCGTCATAGCTGAACTGCATTTTCCCCACGGTCTTGCTTCCTTTTCAAAGGCAACCTATGTGGGATGACTGACAGAATGTGAAGACTGTTCCTTCTTCTCCATCGGGACAACCCTGAAGGGTTGTCCAGGTCCAGAGCTCCCTCTCCTATCAGGTGCAGTATAACAACTTACTCAGTAGTGTGAATCCACAGTCATATGCTGAAATACGTGCAGCCAAGTGCAAACGGGTGACGTCGGCCCAAGGGCTCTGAGGAAGGAAAATTTCCTGGGGTTCGTAGGGGTCTGCCAGCCACCCCTCCCGGCTCCGGAGATGACAGAGGCCATGGCTGATCACTCTGCTTCCTTTGTGCTCCCTGTGTCTGCCAGTCACATATGAGAGCAAGCGGGGGTGCAGTATCCTAGTCGGGCGTTCTCACATGAGAGAGGTGGGACTTCCATCAGATTACAAACACTGCACAGTAGCATAGCGTGCTAATTTCTAGGGCTTCCCTGACAAATTGCACAACTTAAACAACCGAAATACATTCTGTCATATTTATGCAGGCTACAAACTAGAAAAGTTGTCAACAGGGCTAGTTGTCTCTGAGGATTGTTTCTACCAGGCCTTGCCCTTTGGCTGTCTTCCTGCGACTCTACATGTTTGTTTGTTTGTTTAAATGCATCTTGGTAATCACATGCACCCATCCTGCATATGTCTCACTACACTTGTCCTCTTTGGAAATACTCTAACCCTTCCTTCTAAGGCCTACACTAACAACCTATTTTTAACTAATGATCTCTATGAAGACCTTATTTTCAAATACAATTAACATTCTGAAGTCTAAGATTCAAGTCCTAGGGGTTAGGATTTGAATTTGGCAGAGACACAATTCAACCTAAAATTTGTAGCGATATCCAGGTGATGGTGGTGCATGCCTTTAATCCCAGCACTCAGAAGGCAGCAGCAGGCAGGTTTTTGTGAGTTAGAGGCAGAAAGAGTTCCAGGACAGGCTTCAAGGCTACATAGTCTCGAAAAACAAAAATATATGTAGCAATAAAATATATGTAACAAAAATATAAAGGTAAATGGACTGAGACAGTTGGTAGATTTTAACACTACCCAGTTTTCCATATTGGATTAAACGCCAAGGCGTTGAAAGCTCTAATGAATAGAGTAAGAAGTGCAGCAACCGCAAGACATCCAAGCCTACTCGGAAAGACAGAAAGAAAAGTGAAAAGTAAACATGAAAAATAAACATGAACAGCCCTTGACCTCCAGCTTCAGCATTTGCACAAACATACAAACAAAGATGTCGATCCTTGTTGAAGATGGGGTGGGGACTTTCGGACACACTCGACTTCTCAGGGGAGAGAAGATAAATCACCACATCAGGGAACATTTTTAAATGTAAGCCTTAGTATTCTTTGTAGTTTCTTCCCAACTCGCAGACAGACTGTGTGATAAGCCCTCCAAATATTAAAAAAGCCAGGTCTAAAGGAAGGATATGGAAGGAGAAGAGAGAGAGAAGCCCTGGGGTCACATCTGACCCACCTGGGGATGGAGAGGAGCAGGGCTACAGAAACCGTGACTATATCTCTGAGCAGAAAGGACCCAAGATCAAAAGAATCAGAAGGGTGAACTGTGGGCTGACTCAGCTAATGTGGGGTTCAGGCCGGAAAAAGCCATTCTTGTAGCCTGCCATGGCCCACGCAGTGCTCAGCTAGGCTGTGCTCAGATGCCCAACAAGCATGGGTTTATTCCAGGTGCATAAGTCAGAAGGTAAGGAGACGGGCTGTGAAGGCAGACTCCTAAAACACCAACAGCTGAGTTCCAGCTGCTTGCAAGAATGACTTTTCCCTTAGCAGAAATGGTTACTGGAATGCCAAACTGTGTTAATTTATAGAGAATGACTGCTTTCTTTTTTTTTTTAACATTTCTGTGTTGTGCTTGTAAATTTTGAAATAGCTACATATTCAAAAATCAATAGGCCTTTCTAGTTACAGCAATAAGCAGTCAGGAAATGAAGTGAAGATAGGAGTACATTCTCAATAGCAATAAAAATATAAAATATTTGCAGTTATTGGAATGTGATATATGCTAGGACCATATGAATAAGGTCACGATGCTGAGTTAAACCATATCACATGGAGAGATGTCCAGTGTTTCTGAATAAAAAGTCTAAGCATTGTTGAATGTCCAATTATAGTAAGTTCTAGTTAGTTCCTCTGACCAGCACAATACGATTTGAATGAGAAAATTCAGTGAAACTATTTTAAAATTCCTTCTGGAAAAAATGTTTTTAAATGATTTTTTTTTTTAAAGAGTTGATAAACTGGGCGTGATGTTACAAGCCTGAAATCCTGGTATTTGGGAAGCCAAGGCAGGCGAACTGTGAATTTG